CATTCATGAGTTGATATGTGTCTTGGACCACTAATTGTCGAGTTGCTACCTTGTGCTGAGAATGGCAAAGCCCATACCAAATCTAAGGGCGACGGAACGTCTTGGAAGGTACCAAGTCCATTCAGTTTGCCCTAAAAACAGGACCATCCTGCAAAAATGAGATCCAACGCTTGCGAATTTTCTAGCAATGAAAGTGCCTTCTTGGTTGCAGATCCTTTCTCAAATTCATTTCTTGTATTCAACCATATAAAATTCACGAATCTATTCACCCTTTTATCATCTGCATTTAAAATCCGTCAACTTTTCACCCTTATCAAATCGGTACTGAATGCGCAAATTCCTTTTTGATTCTATTTTATTAGGATTATTTGCTAAAAATTTCCTCATCTTCCTCTTTCAAGCTAGTTTAATAGGGGTACATGCTTCTTTACATGTATTTTGTGGATTAAAACACCAACAGGGCAGTTAGACGTAACTATTAAATTCATTTGATCATGTAAATTATCTGCATCCTGTGGACTGGTGACTGTCCTTTTTGGGCTGCTCAACGTTTCCGCTGCTTGCGCAGAATCGTCTCCTCCTTCGGCAGTCAGTTGCAACCAGAACTGTCAACCGAGTCTCGTGAAGGCACACGATTGGCCACAATGCCCCACATTTTATGGACTAAAAGAAACAGTACATAACAACCCGAATGATACCTCCTCTCTCATGACCAACCTTGACATAGAAAAGAATTTATTTGTGGGTACTGCCTCGACCACACACTCACCAAGCCTATGAAGATGCAGAACAGTTGCACAACGTCGGTGTATGCAACTGAGTAGAGGCCACCGAACAGCGTGTAAACCAACGCGATGCAGGCTGAAACGATTATGGAGGCTTCTTTGTTCATCTCCGTGATCACCATAAGGGTTGCACCTAAAGCGAGAGGCAAAAGAGACAAGATGTGAATGAGCGACTGCCACGAATTCAGGCTCCCCTTTTAAGTGGGTGTGATTTGGCACTAAGCAGTCCTAATGAGAACCGAATTATTCAATCACACATTTGCCTGCATCAGGTAGTCACTCAAAATTGACCTCCATCTGCACGAATGAGCGTCATTAGTGAGGTGAATTTATTCGCTTTATGATAAAGAATTTTATTTTTATTAATTGTAATGGAAAAAAGGTTAAGCATACATTGGCGCTATGCGTCTCAGGCTAAATCGAGAATTGAGAACACAGAAATAAGCCATATTGCGAAGTTCATTTTGTGGTACCCTCCAATCGGCCACAACGCCGGCAGTCTGTGACGATTCAGAAGACCGACACTCGGCTGTGACGTTGGTGGATTCATTAGCTGTGCATAGCATCAAAAAGTGATGCAGAAACTGGGATGAAAGTGTGAATCCGCCCCAAGCATCATCACGTTTCACAACCTTGATGGGCTTACAGGAATTTCAATTGATTTCGAGATCTACTTTAAGACAAACATATAATCTCTGTCTATGTTTAACGCATTGGATAAATCATACTTTATTTATTAATTCTTGTGGGCATAGCTTGGATAAACAATTAATTTATCCCAGATGGCATTAGCTTATGAAGGACGGAAAA